AACGTATTCCGAAGCATGTGTGAAATGGAGCTTCACAAAACATACACTTCATGCACGACACTCATGATTTCCCCAATTCAGAACTACGACACAAAATTCAGTTTGTTCGGACAACTCATGACAAACCAAAGGACCGTGACCTTGGTACTCAGACGAGACAGCGTTTATGTTCGTGACATCCTCATCACGTGTTCCCCCGCAGGTGCAATGTTTGCTCACCATCTTTTCTTTATTCGTGAGGGGGAAAAAGGCGAATTCGAGGAGGGCATCCCTTGAGCTTTCTCGTGCCACGCCCTGGATGGTGAAATGCGGGGCTGAATTTTGAACTTTCAAGTTGGAGGCCTCCTTCTTTTAAAAAAATAATGAGCATGATATTATTCTTTCTAGATTATTACAAATTTATGACGGTAGTTTATATTGCCATGCAGAATAAGTAATATTATGTTCGTAGTAGTTAGCATAATTAAAAAGGAGAAGGAGGAGGAAAAGTAATGAAGAGAAAGGTCAAGAATAATATGTGGCAGTACGGACAACTGGTAGAAATTCATGTACTCCCGATTCTGATAAAGGCATTCAAAGGAACTCTGCGTCACAGACATTCTTTTTTATTTCACACACTGTTTTTTTAAGCACGTTATCTCAAAGAAAGAATCTTAGCAGACAATCAAACTTCTGCTTGACTGCAAATAGCAAAAGTCAGGGAGGGGGGGTGACTGTGACCTTGAAACACCAGTTGTTAGAGAACTTGATGATCGAGGTGAATGCGAAAGTGAAAAACTTGAACTTAGAGAACTTCAGCGTTATATCTGGTTAACATAAAAACCAATCTTAGCTACACGATAACTGACATAGCCCGCATGTCATATCTCTGTTGTCAAACTACAATTTATCTTTTCCAGTATTTCTCAGTGACCCTTCCTTGAGATTATTTAAGTCACAATATTGTATCACAATTCAATGTTTCTTACCAACACAAGATAAAAATACTTCCAAGTATTCATCCATGCTATTCTTATATTCTTTTCTATTTCTTATATTACCAGTTCTCAGCGACATGATAACTTCGGTGTTTTCCTTGAATTCATAACATTATCTTGCTTCTCTTTCTCTTCATCAGCGCCATCCACGAGTCGGATATCAGCTTGTTGCCTCCAGTGAAGATCCCCACCCCGTACGGCGGTCGCCTGGTCTGGACTCTCCCTGGCGGGAATCTGCTGATTGTGCACATGAAGGACAAACAGAAGGTCCGACACAAGAAACGCTGGTCACAGGTGAGAGGGCAGAAGATATTATTCAGAGACGTCTCCGGCGAGCACTCAGGAACTATTCGAAGACGCACTCCCGCACACAGATGCGCTGCTTTGGGGGGTCAAACTGCGTTTTATTTGCTGCAAATCACAAATATAGCGACTAAAACTGTCGCAAATCAATTATTTTCAAGAACATTTCAAACTTAACCGCCAAATATAAAATTATATGTGAAAACATG